CCCCCCCTCCACCGTCCGATCCTTTTTGGATCTCATGCCGGAGAGTTTTGGGGTGTCTTGGCTCGTAAGTCCTCCACCGCCCAATGGGGGACTTCAGTGTTTATTCAATGCCGTACCAACTGGCATTAACCTTAAGTAAGCCTGTGCATACTTTGGACTGTTGTACCCTCATCCTCTGGAGGAGGTAGAATGAGGGGGGGGCGGGGCATGGCTTCTATTTTTCAGGGGGGGTTCGGGTACGGGTTGGGGGTCGGGTCTGTGTACTGCATTCTCGAATTGTCCCTCACTGTGGCTACTATGTATTTTCAGTATACAGCTATCCCCACTCAACGCGTCCATGTGTCCGGCAATCTCTGGCAAACTCAAAAACCAATACATCAGTATGTGTCTTTCCTTACTCAGCTATCCCCACTCAACGCGTCTATGTGTCTGGCAAACTCAACAATCTATCCATCTGTTGTGAGGTTTCAGTATGGAGATGGCACCGGGGTGCGCAAAAAAAAACGCGACACCCGAATCCAGTGCTGTGTGGGGAGGATGGGAGACCGGCAGGCTGTCATCTTGCAGCTGACCGGGCGAGGGGCGGCTACCCGCGATCCGCTCCGTCATCAACCTACTCCGCCTGGTGCTTTCAGGCCGCTGCATGTTGAGGAAACGCTTTCTCTCGTTCAACATGTTTGTCTTGCACAGTGCAACCCGGCGTTACCGTGCATATCGATGGCAGCCTCACCTCCGGGATTCAGGAATATAAAAAATGGTTTTATGCATAGCCAAACAAGCCTAGCATTCATCCCGTCACATTTCCTGCAAGATCAAAATCGCCATCCGCAGATATGTTACCCGCCGAATCCCCCGCCTCCCTTCGACTAAGGGTAGTGCTAGGGGGTATGAGTGCATCGCTACGATAACTGCCATCACGCCTCAACAACCATCGATTCTACCCACACGGGTGCCGCGTTCAATAAACAAACATAGCATCCATCGTACGCGACACGATGAGCGTTCTTGAAATCTACCGGTACAGAGGAAACCACACGGATGCGAATCTATTTTTCATCGCCAGCCAGCTTCCAGAGATGCGTGCTATCCGATACTGTCTCCATCAGCGAAGAAAACCTTCAACCTTGCGTGGTTTCAGGAACTTTTTCGCTCGTGATGCTCTTTCTGGGCGAACGCACCAAGCAAGCACAATTTTTTCCAAACCGACAATATTTCTAATATACTACGGGCGCTCAGAAAACCGATCGCAAAAGGTTTGGGCTACGATTACTCGACAGTTATGCGTGAATATGGACATTCGTGTGGCAAATCTACAAGATAACAGAGCTACCACGAGGTGTTCGGCGTCGACATGGTCCTCAGGCGCAAGAGCCCTTGGAGCAAGAGAGAGAAAGAGAGATGCGGAACGAAATGCTTTTGCACTCCGGATCCCGTGAAGTCCTTGGTCTCTCCGAAGCCTCTCTACGTCAAATCCCGGAAGCACGGTGTGCGCTCTAATACGATATCAAGCGTTGCTTGTATCCCCCCTCCTACAGCAGCATGTTCAAAGGCGGCAATGAACAAATAAATGAATAACCTATACCTGATCGGTGTAACACCAGAGCTACAACAGCGTCTTCGGCAGCAGCTCGTCAACGTGGTAATCTCGCAATCCCGACAGTCCCAACTCATGGCCCTGCAACATATCCCACACCTTACTATTTCCACAAATAAATGTAATACAAGTGACAACCAGCACCATCGGCGTCTACAACTTGGAAAACTACGGCAACAAAGCACGAGAAGACGATGCTTCGCCATGACAAGCAGGCCTATCGTCGCAATTCATCACGGCTGGAATTTAGTACGGGTGTCCAGTGCCTTTGGATCAAGGAGCGGCACGAGACGGACATCAAGCGGACGGCGGAAGACAAGGGTTAGGGTCAGGCATGACGATAACGACAGGAACTCAACAGCGTAGGTTTGGCCGAGGTCAGCCTGATATTTCATTCTCAGCCGCATGCCAACATCACCCAAACTCGTGACTTACCGTCAGTGGGGGCAGGGACCACGGGCGACGAGGTCGGGGCGAACGTAGCGAAGTCGCTCTCCATCAACTCGTAGAGGTCGTAGTCGTAGTAGCCTCCGCACGTGGCCGTGACGTCACCGCTGCAGGGGGTGTCGCAAATTCCCATCTGCATTGGCAAGGTCAGGTAACCGCCTTCGTCGCCGCAGGCGCACACGCTGCCCTTGAAGAGCGCGAAGTAGTCGGCGGACTCGGCGGCGCACGCCTCGAAGCACAACTTGGGGGGCGGGGGGCAGGGGCGGGGTGGTCAGAAGAACGAGTGGTAGGGGCTTGTTGTTCTTGCCTGTTGTCGTACAGGAAGCAAAGCAGACTCATTATAGTATTACGAAAGCGCTATACAACGAAAACACACAACAACTTCATCTTCAATGGCACAAACATTTCGCTCCAAGAACTGCCGTCCGTCTTATCGTTGCTGCAACCTCCCTAGCGGCGGCTGGCGAGGACGCATTTGGTACTGAATAGCGCAGGCACGAGGAAAGTTCATCCACTGCCGTGCCATGGGCAACGGACACTCGCTCCGTCCTCTCACCATCTTGGTCATGTGTTCTTCTCCGTCAAGTTTCTCCAGCTCGACCGAGGCCGTCGGGGAGAGTGCGTAACACCCGACGTGCCCGTAGCTATCGACTTTCCCGTCACCGTCGATGTCGACGTCCATGCTGTCGTCGTTCCCGCCGGAGGTGGTCGGGTCGAAGTCGAAGGGAGTGCCTGTGGGGGCGCCGGTGGGAGCGTAGGTGGCGAAATCGCCGCCGTCTGCACCCGAGAATCAACACACACGAGGGAAAAGGGAACAGGATTTGCACAAATAGCGATGGCGAATCCAGGCATATAGATGTGCGACAGCTTGTAGGCGAATAACCTTTTCGCTGTTAGACGTTCAGGTTGGGGAGGGTAAACACAGCTGAACCAACCAAGAGAAGTCAATGTGACATCAACGAGGTAGATGCTTGGAACGGTGGGCACCGCGATAAAGGTTGAGGTTTTCGAGGGACGAAGTGAACATGCCACATAGGTGGATCACGAGAGCTTACCAATGTCGATGATGCAGGGCGCCTCATCGGTATCGTCGCACAGCACGCCGGTCTCTTCGATGTCGTCGCCGCAGCAGAACAAGCCGTCGAGGTAGCAGTTGTCACCATCGCACGCTCGGCACGTCGCAGGGCAGCAGTAGTCGCCGTTGGCCGACTCAATGCCAGAGATGCCGTTGGAGCAAACGCCTGAGGCATCGCAAAAAAAAAGGGGGCCGAGGAACTGTCAATACAACTACGTGTGTGTGCGTTATCCTGAAATAGGTCTCATCCCACATGGTTGAGCTTTCACTCATTTCCGTGCAGTAAATACAAGAAAGCATGTACGCATCGTTGTTGCAGAGGTGTTGAGAAGGCTTGAACACGAAGCCGATGCCCCGCCGACCCGCGATGAGTGCAATGGGAACTACAACCTCCTTTTCCCGACTCAACGCTCGGCGAACGGCATAGCCCAACAAGTTAATTCGTCCCGAAGACCGATGATAAGACTCCATCACTTCGGTTCTATCGCCGCGCCTAACGTACCTTGAGTGCTCGGGGGAGCCGGCGCCTCCGTCGTCGGCTCCATGGTGACGGGGGTGGGTCCAACAGGCTCAGGGGTCGGAGCGGGGGGCTCGCCACCTGCAGCCGGGCGCCAGCGAGGCGGATCATGCGGTGCAGCAGGCCTCGGAGAACGTCAACCAAATGCGAGTGCATTTATTGGTGGCTGGACACCGGACCCGTAAGACAGCCCTTATTGAGAATATGGAACACAACTCCAACTTCACCGTGTCCCCAACCTCCAAAGCTGCCAACGATTTTCCGCCCACGCGATGCATTTGTGGCCTCTTTCAATCTCTCTCTGCCCCGAGAAAAATTCAAGGACGTTGTCCCTCCACCGCACTCTCTCACCTTCACCGATGTAGCATGGCGCGGTTCCGGACACCTCGCAAGCTTGGCCCGTGGTCATGATCGCGGAAACACAGCAGTCGGTCACTTCTCCGCGAGAAGAGCAGCCCACGCCACCGCAGCTGTTCAAGTTGCACACAATCGGATGCACACTCCAAAGATTAGCGCCCCATAGTCACCACCACCCCGACGTACGTCCACGCCTCCGTCATCATCTACTACGCGCGTTCCGAAATGTGTCATGCTACAGGGGTCTCTCTTCCTTTCATCGTGTGATCAATTTTCTTTTGATATACTTGCATGACGCATGACGTCGGACAACAAGCGCTGGAGCCCGGCGACTCCACTCCGGGGATGCCGCCAGCGTTGGGGCAGGTAGAATCGGCTGCTTCGTCGCGGGTTCGGAGGGAGCGAGACAACGAAGGTTGAACGGGGGAAGGAAGAAGCACGTGAGGGGTACTCGCGACCTCCCGGGAATCTACACTTTGTGTCACTTGTGAGAGGCTTCATTGGTTACCCTCGCAATCTCTTTATCGCCGCCTTCAAAAAGGTGTGCGTCTCTTTATCGCCACCTTCAAAAAGGTGTGCGTCTACCCATTCGTATCCACGGCATCCGCCGGCCATTGTAAAATCTTGAGTTATCACAAACTCGCATGGGCAACTATCACACCCATAATGAAATAGGAGTACTCCACGAACATGAGGTGTCCATTTCAAAAGGGGTGGCGCACAACGAAAACCTTCCCTCGTCGAGAGTTTCCTGCACGTAGCAATATTCACACACCTGTGTTTGGAATGAATGGAGCAATCGAGCTTGAAAAGTGGGTCTGCGGGGTGTGCGATCATTCTCACCATATTTCCAAAACCAGTGCACGTCCCGTGCCGCAACACATGTGCCGCATCCTTATCCTCACGTTATATCCATGATTACCAAGGCTCATCTCGGGTATTTTCCCGCTGGATCTCCACGGGAACGGTAACTGGTAACGTTACTGTGATAATTTCCGTTTTCCGTACCCATCCAAATCCATTACCGAGAAGGTTCTGACAGCAACTAGCTGTCCACAATAGAATATATTTTCGGACAACCCTTCATCACCTTCACAAACAGGCACCCGTGCGTTCTCATCAAACATTACGCGGTGGCACGTCTTTGCACTCTCACCCGCGCACGGGAAAAAATTGCATCAGCCTTCCGGTTCTTCACCGTCTCCATTTTATCTCCCTTTTCACCTTTGATTACTCTGCCTTGAGATTCGGGTCATAGATGGCCTTCTCCCATTCCCATCCAAATCGATAACAAGGACATAAAATCCCGTTGCTCCCACTCAACCAAATACCGTGCAACATGTCGAAATCCCGTGGCTTTCGGTTACCACCCAAGCAAGTACCGGCAACATGTAGAATTCCCGGTACCGTACGAGAACAAAACATTTTACCGCACACGTAGCTGAGGGGGCAGTCTGCGCGTTTGCAGCACTGTACGTGGCAGGTTAAACTCCGCACCATCTCTTTTCTTTTGTTTTGCTCTTCTGTGTAGTTTGTCCCTCTTTTCATGTATCGATCCATTGAGCGAAAGGGAACCATTTCTGAATGTATGTTGTATATTTTTTCTTTTTTCTCCTATGATTGGGATCAGTCGTCTGCCCCTCTTGCCCCCATCCTCCCCACTTCTACTAGCTAGACCCAACCGGGGTCACAGGTAGGGGAGCTGGATGCCCTCCTGCGGTTCCTGCCGGATATATTTTTATCGCGAGAAGGGTACAGCAATCCCTTCCCTCGCGACGTATGAAGGCGAACAAGTTCACCAACATGGAGCTTTGCAGCGCGTCGCTTCCAACTTAGCCGTCTGTAGTGTGGTTTTTTTTTGTTGTGTTTTAAACTGCTTGCCTGCGGTGTGACGAAGATACGGTACCCTATACTTGTGGTTGAGCTCGATATTCATGCGTGTAAGTACGTGGTAGCTGTTGGTTAATCATCGTCTGGCAGATAAGTTTGGTGTTTTCAGTGCTCACGTAGCTGAGATTGATATAGTAAGTGATCAAGTGATGTATATTTCGAGGTGTCGCTCTGGACGTAATGATGTCGTTAGTTTGTTTTACTCTTCGTCTTTGGCCTCGTCTTTCGATAACGTGACCGTAAGATTTTCACCTGTACTCTCAGAACAATTGAAAAACGAAACGCGATAGGGTCCATTGGTGTGTTTCGTGTTCTTTGTGGAACGCGCTGTTCGGGTGTCGCGAATTGATCAAAAACGCAATACAGTTACAGTGCATCGTTTTGTGGAGTGTTTCCATCCTACGTTACCGTGCATTACCGTGGTGGTCCCCTACCGCGGCATTACAGTGGTGCCGAGTGACCACCCAAATATTATCGTGCATTCCCGTGGTGGCTAGTTCCCGTACCAATCGTTGCCGAAATGAGAAATCTTTCGCGACAGGAGCCTGAAAAGTTACTTCATCGCGCCGGGTACAATGGAAAAATCTCACCAGTGGGTGCAGTAGGCTGGGTGACAGGCGCAGTAGGCTCGACCACAGGCTGCGGCGTAGGCACGGCGACCGGAGACGGCGCAGGGCCTCGGACTGAATAATCGGACAGGTATCCGGGAGACCAAAACAACGAGGAAAGTGAGTCAGGGTTGTTCAACGTGAGCAGGTGGTACTTGATAGTCGCGTCGGGCCACAGCGTTGTGCATCCATCCAAGTGGTAAAACACATATGCGCCAAGCATCCACCCGCGTCCGACAAGGGTCCAAGCAAGATAGTTCACTCACCACTGTCTACGATACACGGAGCTGTCATCGTGGCGGAGCAGAGCGCGCCGAAGTCTTCGATCTCGCTCTGGCAGCAGTTGTCCGCCCCGAGGCCGCCGCCAAGTTGAGCACAGCCGGTTCCACCGCATCCACCGCACTCCGCGAGACAGCAAGCGCTTCCTGTCTGGATACCGGGGATCCCGTTGGAGCACACGTCTGCCGGCGAAGAAAAAAAACATCATACAATCAAGCGGCCATGTCAGAAGGCATCGCGCAAAAACGACGCGTTAACAACGCCGTAGCTGATGGTTGAGCCGAAACCAGAGTGCGGCATTTATCGCCCGCAAAATGGCTTTTGCAGACAAGCGCTTCTACTACCATCACCAGACAACGGAACGACTGACGATTTCTGACGTATGGTATCACGGGCCGAGACGATAAGACGGAGGTTTCTACCGTACGATCCGGTATCACCTACACAGCACACAGTCAAGTTTGCACCCTGGCGATCGAGTCATTGATCATGGAACCTCGTCGACGATATCGTACCGGTGGGTGCAGTGGGCTCGCGAACGGGGGCAGTCGGCTCGGCCACAGGGGCAGTGGGCTCGCGGACGGGGGCAGTAGGCTCAGCCACAGGGGCAGTGGGCATGGCCATCGGCGAAGGCGCAGGCGCGGAGCCTGCGACGCGAAGCAGGTAGCACCAACAACCAATAGCGGGAATCCGTGGCGGATCACCCAACCCAACGACCGCGACCGCTTTCATTCTCTGTCGGGTCGTGACGAAGAGAACTCGCGATGAAGACTAACAGCCAACACAAAAAGAGACCAAGACCGGTACAACAGATGAATTAGCGCACCGTCGGCCATGATGGAAGACAGCAATCCGAGAAACCGCACACCATGCCTGACTCTGCAAGGAACGTAATCGTGGAAACGGCGACAAAATCATCCAACAAGGCGTGATAGAGATCGCCACCACATGTCTCACCGTCCACGACACACGGAGCTGCCATCGTGACAGAGCACAGCTGGCCGAAGTCTTCGATCTCGCTCTGGCAGCAGCTGTCCTCCCCGAGTCCGCCGCCGTACTCGGCGCAGCCACGCCCGCCGCATGTTCCACACTCCGCGAGACAGCAAGCGTTTCCGGTCTGGATACCGGGGATCCCGTTGGAGCACAAGTCTGCCGGCGACCAGGAGCAACGACGTGGGGTCAAGAGCATGAAATAAAACTTGATTCATCGTGTACATCGAAATGTCAACAAACATGGCCGCGTGCTGAGCACCAAATGAAGACCTCAACGGAAAATGCAGAGAGTGCGCGTCTGCTCCAACGCTGCATATCGACTTGATGCAAAGCAAAGAGCATCCGAGGGTTGAAGCCAACGGCGTAACGCACAGCCAAATGCACGGCCGGACGAAGGAGTCATGAACATCTCACCGTTGGGTGCAGTGGGCTCGTCGACAGGTGCGGTGGGTTCGATGACAGGTGCCGTGGGCTCGGTAACAGGTGCGGTGGGCTGGGCGACAGGCGCAGTAGGCTCAGCCACAGGTGCAGTGGGCATAGCCACCGGCGAAGGCGCAGGGGCGGAGCCTGCATCACCAAGCAGGTAGCACCCACAACCATGAGACCATCCGGTACATCATACGACACAGCAGTGGCATGTCTCCGACACACCCTTGTCGAACGTCGGTCGACCGCAGTCCACAAGTTTTGAGAGCTACGTTCGCGGCTAGCGAGTTTTGGACAACATAGTCGGCCCAAAACTCAACAACATGTCGTCGTGAATTGGAAACGCCGTCACGAGCAAGCACATCGAAGCCGGCAACACATGTCTCACCGTCCACGACACACGGAGCTGCCATCTTCACAGAGCACAGCTCGCCAAAGTCCTCGATCTCGCTCTGGCAGCAGTTGTCCTCCCCGAGGCCACCGCCAAGCTGGGCGCAGCCAGATCCGCCGCATCCGCCGCACTCGGCGAGACAGCACGCGTTTCCTGACTGAATGCCGGGGATCCCGTTGGAGCACATGTCTGCCGGCAGAGACGAACAGCAACGTCATGAGGTAGCCAAGAGAGCGGCAGCGTGAGACGGTGCATAGTGAACAATATGTCGACACATCTTATCCAAAACACCCCGAGCTGACCACCGAGCGAAAGCAGTCAGCGTTCGGTGGCGCGGCCGGTGGAGTGAAAGTACGTTGCCACGCTTGTGATGCGTTGGTCGTCTCACGATGCGACAATGATGACGCCGTTTNAAAGCAACGTCATGAGGTAGCCAAGACAGGGGCAGCGTGAGACGGTGCATGGTGTACCATATGTCGACACATCTTAACCAAAACACCCCGAGCTGACCAACGAGCGAAAGCAGTCAGCGTTCGGTGGCGCGGCCGGTGGAGTGAAAGTACGTTTCCATGCTTGTGATGCGTTGGTCGTCTCAAGAGGCGACAACGATGACGCCGTTTCAACATCACCGGATAACCTACGACGATGCGATGACGGGTAAAGACGGCAGACGGGAGGTGTCGAAGGTGTGCATATGGTATCTACTTTTGAGTCAGTGGCGACGGTGCAAGGCCGATAGCAATACAACGTCAGCGGCAAAACACAGCCAAGCCTGCTGCTTGTCAACCGAGACAACAACGATGGAAGCTAGAGGGAGATATCTCACCACTGGGGACAGTAGGCTCTGTCACAGGCGCAGTGGGCTGGGCGACAGGTGCGGTAGGTTCACGAACCGGAGCAGTGGGCTCAACCACAGGTGCAGTGGGCATGGCGACCGGCGAAGGCGCAGGGGCGGAGCCTGCATCACCAAGCAGGTAGCACCCACACCAATGAGGTCAGCCAGCATCACGGTTGGATCATGCCGTGTAATGCAGCAATTGGTTAGCATCCACATCTGGAAGTGTTCAAGAGTTCTCATGGAACCATACAGAACCATCGACAACAGACGTTGACACCCAAATGCGCCCAGGATTTCGACAAGACGAGACGTTGGAGGACCAGATGCCATGCAATACGGTGCATAGTGTACAATATGTCGACACATCTTAACCAAAACACCCCGAGCTGACCAACGAGCGAAAGCAGTCAGCGTTCCGTGGGGCGGCCGGTGGAGTAAAAGTACGTTGCAACGATTGTGATGCGTTGGTCGTCTCAAGAGGCGACAACGATGACGCCGTTTCAACATCACCGGATAACCTACGACGATGCGATGACGGGTAAAGACGGCAGACGGGAGGTGTCGAAGGTGTGCATATGGTATCTACCTTTGAGTCAGTGGCGACGGTGCAGGGCCGATAGCAATACATCATCAGCGGCAACACACAGCCAAGCCTGCTGCTTGTCAACCGAGACAACAACGATGGAAGCTAGAGGGAGATATCTCACCACTGGGGGCAGTAGGCTCTGTCACAGGCGCAGTGGGCTGGGCGACAGGTGCGGTAGGCTCACGAACCGGCGCAGTGGGCTCAACCACAGGTGCAGTGGGCATGGCGACCGGCGAAGGCGCAGGGGCGGAGCCTGCATCACCAAGCAGGTAGCACCCACACCAATGAGGTCAGCCAGCATCACGGTTGGATCATGCCGTGTAATGCAGCAATTGGTTAGCATCCACATCTGGAAGTGTTCAAGAGTTCTCATGGAACCATACAGAACCATCGACAACAGATGTTGACACCCAAGTGCGCCCACGATTTGGAAAAGACGAGACGTTAGAGGACCAGATGCCATGCGATTGNTGCGATTCGGCAGGACCGTCAATCCAGCAAATAGGTCGGACGCCGCCGACACATGTCTCACCGTCCACGACACACGGAGCTGCCATCTTCACAGAGCACAGCTCGCCAAAGTCCTCGATCTCGCTCTGGCAGCAGTTGTCCTCCCCGAGGCCACCGCCAAGCTGGGCGCAGCCAGATCCGCCGCATCCGCCGCACTCGGCGAGACAGCACGCGTTTCCTGACTGAATGCCGGGGATCCCGTTGGAGCACGTGTCTGCCGGCAGAGACGAACAGCAACGTCATGAGGTAGCCAAGAGATGCAGCGTGACNTCCCCGAGGCCACCGCCAAGCTGGGCGCAGCCAGATCCGCCGCATCCGCCGCACTCGGCGAGACAGCACGCGTTTCCTGACTGAATGCCGGGGATCCCGTTGGAGCACATGTCTGCCGGCAGAGACGAACAGCAACGTCATGAGGTAGCCAAGAGAGCGGCAGCGTGAGACGGTGCATAGTGTACAATATGTCGACACATCTTAACCAAAACACCCCGAGCTGACCAACGAGCGAAAGCAGTCAGCGTTCCGTGGGGCGGCCGGTGGAGTAAAAGTACGTTGCCACGATTGTGATGCGTTGGTCGTCTCAAGAAGCGACAATGATGACGCAGTTTCAACATCACCGGATAACCTACGACGATGCGATGACGGGTAAAGACGGCAGACGGGAGGTGTCGAAGGTGTGCATATGGTATCTACCTTTGAGTCAGTGGCGACGGTGCAGGGCCGATAGCAATACATCATCAGCGGCAACACACAGCCAAGCCTGCTGCTTGTCAACCGAGACAACAACGATGGAAGCTAGAGGGACATATCTCACCGCTGGGGGCAGTAGGCTCTGTCACAGGCGCAGTGGGCTCGGCAACAGGTGCAGTGGGCTCAGCCACAGGTGCGGTAGGTTCAAGAACCGGCGCGTTGGGCTGAGCGACAGGCGCGGTAGGCTCACGAACCGGCGCAGTGGGCTCAGCCACAGGTGCAGAAGGCATGGCCACCGGCGAAGGCGCAGGGGCAGAGCCTGCATCACCGAAAAGGTGGCACCCACACCAATGAGGTCAGCCAGCATCACGGTTGGATCATGCCGTGTAATGCAGCAATTGGTTAGCATCCACATCTGGAAGTGTTCAAGAGTTCTCATGGAACCATACAGAACCATCGACAACAGATGTTGACACCCAAATGCGTCCAGAATTTCGACAAGACGAGACGTTGGAAGACCAGATGCCTTGCGATTCGGCAGGACCGTCAATCCAGCAAATAGGTCGGACGCCGCCGACACATGTCTCACCGTCCACGACACACGGAGCTGCCATCTTCACAGAGCACAGCTCGCCAAAGTCCTCGATCTCGCTCTGGCAGCAGTTGTCCTCCCCGAGGCCACCGCCAAGCTGGGCGCAGCCAGATCCGCCGCATCCGCCGCACTCGGCGAGACAGCACGCGTTTCCTGACTGAATGCCGGGGATCCCGTTGGAGCACATGTCTGCCGGCAGAGACGAACAGCAACGTCATGAGGTAGCCAAGAGAGCGGCAGCGTGAGACGGTGCATAGTGAACAATATGTCGACACATCTTATCCAAAACACCCCGAGCTGACCACCGAGCGAAAGCAGTCAGCGTTCGGTGGCGCGGCCGGTGGAGTGAAAGTACGTTTCCATGCTTGTGATGCGTTGGTCGTCTCAAGAGGCGACAACGATGACGCCGTTTCAACATCACCGGATAACCTACGACGATGCGATGACGGGTAAAGACGGCAGACGGGAGGTGTCGAAGGTGTGCATATGGTATCTACCTTTGAGTCAGTGGCGACGGTGCAGGGCCGATAGCAATACATCATCAGCGGCAACACACAGCCAAGCCTGCTGCTTGTCAACCGAGACAACAACGATGGAAGCTAGAGAAACATATCTCACCGCTGGGGGCAGTAGGCTCTGTCACAGGCGCAGTGGGCTCGGCGACAGGCGCGGTAGGCTCACGAACCGGCGCAGTGGGCTCAACCACAGGTGCAGTGGGCATGGCGACCGGCGAAGGCGCAGGGGCGGAGCCTGCATCACCAAGCAGGTAGCACCCACACCAATGAGGTCAGCCAGCATCACGGTTGGATCATGCTGTGTAATGCAGCAATTGGTTAGCATCCACATCTGGAAGTGTTCAAGATTGCTCATGGAAGCATGCAGAACCATCGACAACAGATGTTGACACCCAAGTGCGCCCACGATTTGGACAAGACGAGACGTTGGAAGACCAGATGCCATGCGATTCGGCAGGACCGTCAATCCAGCAAATAGGTCGGACGCCGCCGACACATGTCTCACCGTCCACGACACACGGAGCTGCCATCTTCACAGAGCACAGCTCGCCAAAGTCCTCGATCTCGCTCTGGCAGCAGTTGTCCTCCCCGAGGCCACCGCCAAGCTGGGCGCAGCCAGATCCGCCGCATCCGCCGCACTCGGCGAGACAGCACGCGTTTCCTGACTGAATGCCGGGGATCCCGTTGGAGCACATGTCTGCCGGCAGAGACGAACAGCAACGTCATGAGGTAGCCAAGAGAGCGGCAGCGTGAGACGGTGCATAGTGAACAATATGTCGACACATCTTATCCAAAACACCCCGAGCTGACCACCGAGCGAAAGCAGTCAGCGTTCGGTGGCGCGGCCGGTGGAGTGAAAGTACGTTTCCATGCTTGTGATGCGTTGGTCGTCTCAAGAGGCGACAACGATGACGCCGTTTCAACATCACCGGATAACCTACGACGATGCGATGACGGGTAAAGACGGCAGACGGGAGGTGTCGAAGGTGTGCATATGGTATCTACCTTTGAGTCAGTGGCGACGGTGCAAGGCCGATAGCAATACATCGTCAGCGGCAACAAACAGCCAAGACTGCTGCTTGTCAACTGAAACAACAACGATGGAAGCTAGAGGGACATATCTCACCGCTGGGGGCAGTAGGCTCTGTCACAGGCGCAGTGGGCTCAGCGACAGGCGCGGTAGGCTCACGAACCGGCGCAGTGGGCTCAGCGACAGGCGCGGTAGGCTCACGAACCGGCGCAGTGGGCTCAGCGACAGGCGCGGTAGGCTCACGAACCGGCGCAGTGGGCTCAGCGACAGGCGCGGTAGGCTCACGAACCGGCGCAGTGGGCTCAGCGACAGGCGCGGTAGGCTCACGAACCGGCGCAGTGGGCTCAGCGACAGGCGCGGTAGGCTCACGAACCGGCGCAGTGGGCTCAGCGACAGGCGCGGTAGGCTCACGAACCGGCGCAGTGGGCTCAGCGACAGGCGCGGTAGGCTCACGAACCGGCGCAGTGGGCTCAGCGACAGGCGCGGTAGGCTCACGAACCGGCGCAGTGGGCTCAGCGACAGGCGCGGTAGGCTCACGAACCGGCGCAGTGGGCTCAGCGACAGGCGCGGTAGGCTCACGAACCGGCGCAGTGGGCTCAGCGACAGGCGCGGTAGGCTCACGAACCGGCGCAGTGGGCTCAGCGACAGGCGCGGTAGGCTCACGAACCGGCGCAGTGGGCTCAGCGACAGGCGCGGTAGGCTCACGAACCGGCGCAGTGGGCTCAGCGACAGGCGCGGTAGGCTCACGAACCGGCGCAGTGGGCTCAGCGACAGGCGCGGTAGGCTCACGAACCGGCGCAGTGGGCTCAGCGACAGGCGCGGTAGGCTCACGAACCGGCGCAGTGGGCTCAGCGACAGGCGCGGTAGGCTCACGAACCGGCGCAGTGGGCTCAGCGACAGGCGCGGTAGGCTCACGAACCGGCGCAGTGGGCTCAACCACAGGTGCAGTGGGCATGGCGACCGGCGAAGGCGCAGGGGCGGAGCCTGCATCACCAAGCAGGTAGCACCCACACCAATGAGGTCAGCCAGCATCACGGTTGGATCATGCCGTGTAATGCGACACAGCAGTGGCATGTTTCCGACACAGCCTCGTCGATCGTCGGTCGACCGGAGTCCAGAAGTTTTGAGGGCTACGTTCGCGGCTAGCGAAAAAGGTTTTGGACAACTTAGTCGGCCCAAAACTCCAACATGTCGTGAATTGAAACAGCCGTCACGAGCAAGCACATCGAAGCCGGCAACACACGTCTCACCGTCCACGACACACGGAGCTGCCATCTTCACAGAGCACAGCTCGCCAAAGTCCTCGATCTCGCTCTGGCAGCAGTTGTCCTCCCCGAGGCCACCGCCAAGCTGGGCGCAGCCAGATCCGCCGCATCCGCCGCACTCGGCGAGACAGCACGCGTTTCCTGACTGAATGCCGGGGATCCCGTTGTAGCACGTGTCTGCCGGCAGAGACGAACAGCAACGTCATGAGGTGGCCAAGAGAGCGGCAGCGTGAGACGGTGCATAGTGTAAGATATGTCGACACATCTTGACAAAAAAAAACCGAGCTGATTAACGAGCGAAAGCAGTCAGCGTTCGGTGGGGCGGCCGGTGGAGTGAAAGTACGTTGCCATGCTTGTGATGCGTTGGTCGTCTCACGATGCGACAATGATGACGCCGTTTCAACATCACCGGATAACCTACGACGATGCGATGACGGGTAAAGACGGCAGACGGGAGGTGTCGAAGGTGTGCATATGCTCTATCTATTTTTGGGTCAGAGGCGACGGTGCAAGGCCGATAGCAATACGTCGTAAGCGGCAACACACAGCCAAGCCTGCTGCTTGTCAACCGAGACAACAACGATGGAAGCTAGAGCGAGNGCGATGACGGGTAAAGACGGCAGACGGGAGGTGTCGAAGGTGTGCATATGCTCTATCTATTTTTGGGTCAGAGGCGACGGTGCAAGGCCGATAGCAATACGTCGTAAGCGGCAACACACAGCCAAGCCTGCTGCTTGTCAACCGAGACAACAACGATGGAAGCTAGAGCGAGATATCTCACCGCTGGGGGCAGTAGGCTCTGTCACAGGCGCAGTGGGCTCGGCAACAGGTGCAGTGGGCTCAGCCACAGGTGCGGTAGGTTCAAGAACCGGCGCGTTGGGCTCAGCGACAGGCGCGGTAGGCTCACGAACCGGCGCAGTAGGCTCAGCGACAGGCGCGGTAGGCTCACGAACCGGCGCAGTGGGCTCAACCACAGGTGCAGTGGGCATGGCGACCGGCGAAGGCGCAGGGGCGGAGCCTGTATTGGCGAACAGGTCGTAGCAACAGTTGGGCACGATGTCAAGGATATTTGGTACCCTGCTTGACCTGCACATGGTGGAATCGACATGGCACATGCAAGAATAGTATGACGATAGACAGAAAACAGACCTACGGACAGTCGGCGACGAAAACCGACATCGTTACCAAGCGTGCTCACCGTCGATGTAGCACGGCGCCTCGAGAGCGATGGAGCAGAGCTCGCCGTATTCCACGATGTCGCTCACGCAGCAGTTGTCCGCCCCGAGGCCTCCACCGAACTCATCACAGCCAGACCCGCCACATGCACCGCACTCCGCGAGGCAGCACGCGTTGTCTGTCTGGATACCGGGGATCCCGTTGGAGCACACGTCTGCCGGAGGGGAACACCGCAAGTCATTGCAAAGAAAACGGCGGCGTGAAAATGATGCATTGGGCCGAGTACGTTGAGACACATTAGGCGAAACTGCAACATGGAAGGCACCAACTATCGGCCAATGGCCACCTTCACCTTCAGAGGCGTGGGGTGTGAGCGCTGGTGGCGGTATGAAGCCAAGATTTGTATATATTAGGTCCGGAGAGAATTTCAATCGCTACCAACCATGTAGCGGTCACAACTACCGCAAGGAGAAATTAATCTCGAGAAACGTACCACCGCCGACGGAGCTACAGCGGGTTCTGGGGCACACCGAATATCGGCAGCAGATGAGCATCGTTCATGGCGACGACGGCGGGAGAGAGCATTCCATTGGTCATGTGAGCGCCAGGACACGGCCAAGTCTGTCCTGTGATCCACGGAAAAGCGGGAATTACTTCTTACCGGTGGGTGCAGTAGGCTCGACAACAGGCGCGGTGGGCTCGCGAACCGGGGCAGTAGGCTCAGCGACAGGTGCCGTAGGCTCGGCGACGGGGGCAGTGGGCTTAACCACGGGGGCAGTGGGCATAGCGACCGGCGAAGGCGCAGGGACCGTGCCTGCTAATAACATTCCGAGTGACAACGATGGGGATCGGGAGTTGGACATCTCGTGCACTGAGTGTGATGCACAGAGCCGTGCTGAAAATAACCTCTAGCCGTGGCGATTGATGCAAGTTTTGTGCGAGGATTACGCGGTACAATACCAGCCGTGAACATGGTCGTCGACGACAGACAGGCGGTAGTGCAGCAAAACGAACAGCAATGGCCGTCGGGGGGAAAATGGGGACACCAGGATGAGTTGTTTCACCGTCTACGACACATGGCGCCTCGAGCTTGATGGAGCAGAGCTCGCCGTATTCCTCGATGTTGCTCTCGCAGCAGTTGTCCGCCCCGAGGCCTCCACCGTACTCAGCACAGCCAGACCCGCCGCATTCACCGCACTCGGTGAGACAGCAAGAGACCCCTGACTGGATGCCGGGAATTCCGTTCGAACACACGTCTGGTGGCAGAGACGCATTGCGACGTCACAAGGTAGCAGGAACGAGGAGGGCGGCGTGAAATGATGCATCGTTCAAGAGGTTGGAACGATACGTTTAACAACACAATCCGTAGGGCCCCGCGTCGGGTGCAAGATGTTCTTGAACATTGAAAGGTAGGAGCGTTGTACAATGCGAAGGACACTGCCAAAATCGAAGTGAATGACCCCCCAGAGCACCAGTCTTATATGTCGACTCCACCATGAAAGCACGGGACAGATTACTCACCAGTTGATGCAGTAGGCTCGGCTACAGGAGCAGTAGGCTCGACGACCGGTGCCGCAGGCTCGGCTACAGGCGCAATAGGCTCGACGACCGGTGACGTAGGCTCGGCGACCGGTGCAGTAGGTACGGCCACAGGTGCGGTGGGCTCGGCGACCGGCGAAGGCGCAGGGGCAGAGTCTGCAGTGGCAAAGAGGTGTTCACACGTCGAGTTCACGAAGGTCATGTTTTAAACATTCACTCCCGTTCCCTGGCGTGAACAGGTGGATCGCCACAGAACCGATGTCCACAACTGGCGCCAATGGACCATGACGCGAGTAGTTTGTGAAAATAAAACGAAGGCTTGATTACTGGCACACGGCATGATCCGTCGGCACGCACGGGAGACAGCTATCAACAGTCGGCGACAAGTAGGCACCTGTGACGAATTACGCAACCCTTCAAGTGCAACAAGGTTGAAGCAGACGAAATCTCACACCGCTACCAAGCGCCTCACCGTCGATATAGCACGGCGCCTCGAGCGCGATCGAGCAGAGCTCCCCGTGTTCCACGATGTCGCTCACGCAGCAGTTGTCCGCCCCGAGGCCTCCGCCGAACTCATCGCAGTCCAATCCGCCGCAGGCACCGCACTCCGCCAGACAGCACGCGCTTCCTGACTGGATACCCGGGATCCCGTTGGAGCACATGTCTGGCGGTAGAGATGAGTACCGAGACGAAATGCGAAACAAAGAGGGCGGCAGCGTGAGACCATGCTCGCTGAGACAAACCATGAGGCATGATGGGCAAGGCACCGTGTCAGCAACGAGACGGCCTAACGCAGCGTGCGGTAAAGCTTGATTCTGCACATTTGACATTTGAAGAACGACCGGTGCAAAGTAGTCGTCGAAGACTCAGCCTGCTGGCTACTCGTGGACTCCATAAAAACGCAACGGATTTCTCACCGGTGGGTGCAGTAGGCTCGGCGACCGGCGAAGGCGCAGGGGCGGGGTCTGCATTGGCGAACAGGTGGGCCGCAAGGAAAAGCCATGCAAGTCAGGAAATACGCGGGCCCTGACTGCCTTGCACGACACTCCTATTCGCCGATGTCGGCAGTTTGCATCGACGACTAGCGATGACGATGTCCAAGCCTTGGCACGGCGACGAGCAGGCAACTGCTGTGCGGCAGGATCGAACTCTACAGCGTCGGAACGGGCAACACAGGACACCGCTGTCCAAAACGTCTCACCGTCAACCACACAAGGCGCCTCGAGGGTGATGGAGCAAAGCTCGCCGTGTTCCTCGATGTTACCCTCGCAGCAGTTGTCCGCACCGAGACCGCCGCCGAACTCATCACAGCCAGATCCGCCGCATGCACCGCACTCCGCGAGACAGCAAGCGTTTCCTGACCGGATACCGGGGATGCCGTCGGAGCAGACGTCTGCCGGCAGACGCACGCAGCAAAAGAACACGGCAGTGGGAAAGAGAGGGGCGAGGTGAAATGATGCATGGTGTACGGCGTCATGAGAAATGACACTCGATCGGATATAAACAGCCTTCGGGAGCGTGCGGAACAGGCCGTGGTGGTGGTATACAAAGCCAAGGTCGAGATATCCAAACAAGAGATAGCAACGTAGCCGTCACATCTACCGCCAGCAACAACAACCCTATAGAGACCCCACCAACGCCAGGACAAGGCTACCACGGGAGATGGTGACAAAAAATTGTCAACAGAAGCAGATCACGCCTGTTAGCTACACTAGTAGCGTGCTGAAGATGGTTGAATGTGGGACATAGATCTACGAAGATTGAAATTGGTAGATTGCAAAGGAACAGGAAATCCCTACTTGGTTTCTTCGGAAATAGGATGAGTGATCTGAACTGCGTGACGGATGGGCGTTGTGACTTTCTCCTCGGTTCCTGGGACTCGACAGATGTCTCACCGGTGGGCTCCGTAGGCACGGCAGTAGGCTCAGAAGTGGGCTCTGGCGTAGGCTCTGGAGTCGGCTCGGGAGTAGGCTCGACGACCGGCGAAGGCGCAGGGGCGGCGTCTGCATCGCCGAACATGGGATATAGTGATGACGATGAGCCACGAAAGTCAGGGAAACATTTTAAAATATCAACGAATGGATTTCGAGTCGACCACTACGTTGCGAGGCTAACTCATGTTGAGCACGGGATGTGTGGCGAATACGTGCAGGGATAATGCAACGACAACAAAAACTACACAGTCGGCGATGGATGCAGGCATTTGTGTCGCAGGATGAATATCCAGAATGCAATGCCATCGGAATCGATGAAAAATAACATCGCCATCAACAGTCTCACCGTCCAAATAGCACGGCGCCTCAAGCGCGATGGAGCAGAGCTCGCCGTGTTCCACGATGTCACTCTCACAGCAGTTGTCCGCCCCGAGGCCTCCGCCGAACGCATCGCAGTCCGATCCACCGCATGCACCGCACTCCGCCAGACAGCACGCGTTTCCAGACTGGATACCGGGCATCCCGTTGGAGCATGTGTCTGCCAGTAGAGAAAGAGACATACAGCAACAAATGCCCACAAATAGCAACGACAATGCGATTGATGTACCGTGTAAACGTATTTGGGCACTTCCAACAACAATCACGAGGCAACGTCGCTGTTGGAGCGGTAGCAGTCGGAATGAGCCAATCTTGACATGCAAAGGGCAGCATCTTCTGCCTACCATTAACAGATGTGGCAAGTAACGCCAGAAACAGGCACCCTGACAGAACATATGTACACCACCAGGACAAAGCTACCGCGTGTGGGGACGGTACAAGCAATACCGCCGGCACCTACTCAAAACCCGTGACGATTCACGAGACAGGATTCTCACCAGTGGGTGCAGTAGGTTCCGACGTAGGCTCGGCAGTAGGCTCCGGCGTAGGCTCGGCAGTATACTCCGGCGTAGGCTCGGAAGTCGGCTCAGGAGTGGGCTCCGGGGTGGGCTCTGCAGTAGGTAAGGCGACCGTCGAAGGCGACCGAAGAAGGCGCAGGGGCGGAATGTGCATCGTCAAGCAAGTAGCAGCACCGACAAGTCACGGAGATCAGGGGAATGTCGGGCCCGATATAGCTAGCTTGCAAACTAGGATTACCGCAACATGCACGTTCGGACTTCCGAGTCGACGACTTCATACTGACGTGGCACTAACGTGACCAGGCTATGGCGTTGCTTGTAGGGATAGTGCGGAGATACGAAAAACGCAAATAACAAGAAAGCAAGTCGGGGACTCACAAGTTTCCTCTACCACAGGTCCAACGCCGTCGCCACCGACAAAAAATAACACCGGTATCCACAGTCGCACCGTCTAAATAGCACGGCGCCTCAAGCGCGATGGAGCAGAGCTCGCCGTAATCCACGATGTCGCTCTCGCAGCAGTTCTCCGCCCCGAGACCATCGCCGAACTGATCGCAGTCCGATCCGCCGCATCCACCGCATTCCGCAAGACAACACGCGTTTCCTGACTGGATACCCGGGATCCCGTTGGAGCACAGGTCTGCCGGCAGGGAAAGAGACATGCAGCAAGAGTGGACAAGTCTTTTCGTCGTGACGAATGTGTCTGGACACTTCAAGAACAATCATGAGCACAGCTCTTGAGCCTGGGCAAAAAGCGACTTTCAGCAACGTGATGTTGGAGCACCCATCATATGCCGAGAACACAGTATTGTCCGTCGGTCCGACAGTGTGTTCGCGGCAACCCCTCGCAACTACTACCACCAGCGAGCGGAAAACTTACATCACCACCCAACAAGCGACCACGGGTGGGGACGGGACAAACAATACCGCCGGCAAGCCGTTCTTTGAAGGTGACGATGGTGAAAGTAAACAGAGCATTCCACTGATCAGGTCAGCCCTTTCATGCGCAAGTGTCACGTCTGATTGTTGACTCACCATGAAATCACCCGACTGATTACTCACCGGTGGGCTCGGTAGGCTCGGCAGTAGGCTCCGGCGTAGGCTCGGCAGTATGCTCGGCAGTAGGCTCGGCAGTAGGCTCAGGAGTAGGCTCGGAAGTTGGCTCGGGAGTCGGCTCTGCAGTGTACGCAAGGCGACCGAAGAAGGCGCAGGGGCGGAATGTGCATCGTCAAGCAAGTAGCAGCACCAACAAGTCACGGAGATCAGGGGAATGTCGGGCCCGATATAGCTAGCTTGCAAAGTAGGATTACCGCAACATGCACGTTCGGACTTCCGAGTCGACGACTTCATACTGACGTGGCACTAACGTGACCAGGCTATGGCGTTGCTTGTAGGGATAGTGCGGAGATACGAAAAACGCAAATAACAGGAAACAAGTCGGGGACTCACAAGTTTCCTCTACCACAGGTCCAACGCCGTCGCCACCGACAAAAAATAACACCGGTATCAACAGTCTCACCGTCTAAATAGCACGGCGCCTCAAGCGCGATGGAGCAGAGCTCGCCGTAATCCACGATGTCGCTCTCGCAGCAGTTCTCCGCCCCGAGACCATCGCCGAACTGATCGCAGTCCGATCCGCCGCATCCACCGCATTCCGCAAGACAACACGCGTTTCCTGACTGGATACCCGGGAAGCCGTTGGAGCACAGGTCTGCCGGCAGGGAAAGAGACATGCAGCAAGAGTGGACAAGTCTTTTCGTCGTGATGAATGTGTCTTGACACTTCAAGAACAATCATGAGCACAGCTCTTGAGCCTGGGCAAAAAGCGACTTTCAGCAACGTGATGTTGGAGCACCCATCATATGCCGAGAACACAGTATTGTCCGTCGGTCCGACAGTGTGTTCGCGGCAACCCCTCGCAACTACTACCACCAGCGAGCGGAAAACTTACATCACCACCCAACAAGCGACCACGGGTGGGGACGGGACAAACAATACCGCCGGCAAGCCGTTCTTTGAAGGTGACGATGGTGAAAGTAAACAGAGCATTCCACTGATCAGGTCAGCCCTTTCATGCGCAAGTGTCACGTCTGATAGTTGACTCACCATGAAATCACCCGACTGATTACTCACCGGTGGGCTCGGTAGGCTCGGAAGTAGGCTCCGGCGTAGGCTCGGCAATAGGCTCCGGAGTGGGCTCGGCGGTAGGGTCCGGCGTAGGCTCGGCAGTAGGCTCGGCAGTAGGCTCAGGAGTAGGCTCGGAAGTTGGCTCGGGAGTCGGCTCTGCAGTGTACGCAAGGCGACCGAAGAAGGCGCAGGGGCGGAATGTGCATCGTCAAGCAAGTAGCAGCACCGACAAGTCACGGAGATCAGGGGAATGTCGGGCCCGATATAGCTAGCTTGCAAACTAGGATTACCGCAACATGCACGTTCGGACTTCCGAGTCGACGACTTCATACTGACGTGGCACTAACGTGACCAGGCTTTGCTTGTAGGGATAGTGCGGAAATACGAAAAACGCAAATAACAGGAAACAAGTCGGGGACTCACAAGTTTCCTCTGCCACAGGTCCAACGCCGTCGCCACCGACAAAAAACAACACCGGTATCAACAGTCTCACCGTCTAAATAGCACGGCGCCTCAAGCGCGATGGAGCAGAGCTCGCCGTGTTCCACGATGTCGCTCTCGCAGCAGTTCTCCGCCCCGAGACCATCGCCGAACTGATCGCAGTCCGATCCGCCGCATCCACCGCATTCCGCAAGACAACACGCGTTTCCTGACTGAATACCGGGGAACCCGTTGGAGCACGTGTCTGCCAGCAGACGAGAACATGGGGCAACAACATGCGGCAGCAGCAACAATAAGAGCGGCAACGTGAGTGGATGCACCCTGTTGAGTTGTATAATTGATCAAAAACGCTCATGTACGTGGGGTACTTGGCGGCGGGCACGACACGGTCTTCACCAAGATGCGGTTAGAAGCATCCGTCAGGTGCCGAGCACTTCGTAATTGCGCGATACAGCGCCCGCTTCAAAAATCGCGCTACTGTTGGTGCCATTCTCCAGACCCCGCGAGAGACTACCACTGCGAACGAAGCTACCACGAGTGGAAGTTGGACAAGCAACATCGCCAGCGTAACACTGACATTAAAGGTCACGACGGCGCGAGAAAACCAACATCCATTAACGAGGTCAGCTTTTCAGCGAGTCTGAAATATCCTGCATTGCATTTGTTGCGTCTGGAACGACTGACATTGTGGAGCCATTTGCCATGACATCACGTGACAGCCTTCTCACCCGTGGGCGCAGTAGGCTCGGGAGTAGGCTCAAGAGTGGGCTCAGGAGTAGGCTCAGGAGTAGGCTCGGAAGTAGGCTCGGGAGTGGGCTCAGGGGTAGGCTCAGGAGTAGGCTCTAGGGCATTACAGAACAATTAGCGGCACCGACGAGCCACCGAAGTCAGCGATAGATGGTCAGCTGACTGGCTTGCAAAGTTGTATCACCACAAAATTCGTGGTGGGGTTTGCTTCGGGAGAGCCCACAACGACGTGCCACCAACGGGACTAGGCGATAGATGGTTCGTGCGACAACATAAACGCAAAACAAAAACTGTGAAAACAAGTCGGAAACGACGAAGCCAAAGGTCCCCGGTCGCTGCATGAACAGTAACATAATAACGCTGTCGAAACCGAAAAAGACCGACACCGGTATCAAAAGTCTGACCTTCCAAGTAGCACGGCGCCTCGAGCGCGATGGAGCAGAGCTCGCCGCGTTCCACGATGTCGCTCTCGCAGCAGTTTTCAGCCCCGAGGCCTCCGCCTAGCGCATCGCAGTCCGACCCGCCGCACCCACCGCACTCCGCGAGACAGCAAGCATTTCCTGACTGGATACCGGGGAACCCATTGGAGCACATGTCTGGTCACACAGACCCAGGAAAACGCCATGCGGCGGAAGCAACACGGAGAGCGGCAACATGAGATGATGCACCCTGCTAAGTTTGGTAAGACGTTCGAGAGCTCAGATGCAAGGTACTATGCGTCGTGTACGAGACGGCCTTCAGCAAGATTCGGTGTGGTTGCCCCGGTGAGATGCCGAGCATATCATTGTCGGTCCGACGCAGCGTCCGCTAATTCATCCGTCACAACGACCGATAGCACTGAGAACTCCTGAGTGGGACGAAGCTAACACGGGTGGGGATGGCACAAGCAAAATCGCTAGCGCGAGACTTTCTCATTCACAGTGATGACAGCGCAAGGAAGCGACAAACTTCCCACCGGTGGGCGCGGTCGGCTCGGCAGTCGGCTCGGCGGCAGGCTCTGGAGTAGGCTCGGGGGTAGGCTCGGGCATGGTCTCGGCGGTCGGCTCTGAAGTAGGCTCCGGAGTTGGCTCAGGGGTGGGCTCTGCAGCACGCAAGGCCACCGGCGAAGGCGCAGGGGCGAAACACGCATCACCAAACAGTTGGCTGCAGGGACGAGCCCCCAAAAACAAGGGAAGCATCGCGCCGGGCCTAGCTCCCGGAGTACAATCGACGGAACATCAATGTTAGGATTTCGAGTCGACAACGAATGAAAACGAGATCGTGCGAAACACAAGCAAGAAAAATAGAAACTGGAAACCGTCGGCGGCGACGAGCAGGCACCTGTATCGCTGCATAACGCTGCATGAACTACAGTTGTTACAGTGCACAACGCCGTCGGAACCGACAAAGACCAACACGTTGTCGAAGGCCTCACCTTCCAAGTAGCACGGCGCCTCGAGCGCGATAGAGCAGATCTCGCCGCGTTCCACGATATCGCTTTCACAGCAGTTGTCCGCCCCGAGGCCTCCACCAAACTCAGCACAGCCAGACCCGCCGCACCCTCCGCACTCCGCGAGACAGCACGCGTTTCCTGACTCGATACCGGGGAACCCGTTGGAGCAAACGTCTGGCGGCAGGCAAGAGACACAAACCAACCAGGTGAGTTTTTTCATCATGACGCAGGCGTTTGGACCGTTCGAGTCCCATCTCGACCAAGGGGGAGTCTCGGGTTAAGGGGACCCCGGCAGGTGCCGAGAACATTGCCGTCGGTCCAACACAGGGTCCTCTGCCAGTCGCCACAACAACCAGCAACCAAAAGCAAGCAGACCCCTCGAGAAAGCCTACCTCCACGGACCAAGCTACCACGGGTGGGGACGGCACAAGCAATACCGCCACAAGATAGATTTCATTGATATCGAGAAATCGAATTTGACTCGAGGTGATGACGGTGGACGAAGAAAAGCTTCCCTTGATGAGGTCAGCCCTAACCGAACCCGGGCACGTATTAATTCTGATTGAAACCAAGAGCAAGTTTTCGCACCAGTTGGCTCGGTAGGCTCGGGGGTGGGGTCTGGAGTCGGCTCTGGAGTAGGCTCTGGAGTTGGTTCCGCGGTTGGCTCGGCCGTGGGCTCGGCCGTAGGCTCTGCAGTAGGTTCCGGAGCTTGCTCGGGCGTAGGCTCTGGGGTAGACTCTGCGGTAGGCAAAGCGACCGGCGAAGGCGTCGGGGCATCACGAAACGAGTGGGGGCACTGAAGACTCACAAAAATCGGGGGAATATTGTGCGGTGGTTGACTTACGAAACATTATGACCGCCACAAAATTGATGTTCGCATTTTCAGTCCACGACTACACTTTTGACGGAGCAGCAAGCTAGCCAAGCGCTAGCGGGGTCGCGCGAGACACCCACACACAAAAAAAAACTACACAGCCGGCGACGACAACACTCCCCTGTGCCGCAGATTGAAAAACTGAAGTACAATGCCGTAGCAAAAGACAACCACGAACCAACTCCGTTCATCTCACCGTCAATGTAACACGGCGCCTCGAGCGCGATGGAGCAGAGCTCGCCGTGTTCCACGATGCGGCTCTCGCAGCAGTTCTCCGCACCGAGACCGCCGCCGAGGGCATCGCAGTCCAACCCGCCGCACCCACCGCACTCCGCGAGACAGCAAGCGTTTCCTGACTGGATGCCGGGGAACCCGTTGGAGCACATGGCTAGTCACAAAGACAACCGGCAACGACATGCGGCGGCAGCACCACCGGGCGGAAAGGTGAGACGATGCATCCTGTATGGTGATTGATACGCTCAAGAGCTAGCACCCATCAGATGCCCAATACATTATCTGGCCGAAAAGGGCCCGCTGTAATCAGTCCGCCACTAATGCCGCCACAAACAAGAAATCGCCAGAGAGACTACCACCGCCCACGAAGCTACCACGGGTGGGGAACGCACAAGCGAAATTGGGAGCGGAAGACCTGCACTGACGGGACGACGACGCCAGGAAGAGACCATTCCACTGATCAGGTCAGCCCTAACACCAAAGTAGGCAAGTCTGACATCGTACCCTGTTGAGTCATGTGCCACAAAGTCACGTGACACACGTCTTACCAGTGGGGTCTGCAGTAGGCTCGGCAGTAGGCTCAGGAGTAGGCTCGGCAGGTGGCTCAGGAGTAGGATCTGGCGTAGGCTCTGGAATTGACCCTCCCGGCGGCCGGCGAAACAGGTAATCATCAAGATTAGACACGGAAGCCAGCGATACTTTGTGCGCTGGCTGGCCTACACAAGTGGTAATGCATGAAGCAATAGCTAGGTAGTTATTCAATGCTCGGAGTGGGCGTCAACGCCTAGAGACGAGAGCGGCTACAGAGGGAAGACCAAGCCTTGGGGACCGGCGTTCGTGCCAAGACAAGCAGGCACGTCCTCAAACAACAACAACGTCGTTGGGGGACGAAAGACAAAACGCTTCTACCAAGTCCAAGGCTCACCGCCAATGACGCAAGGGGCCGATCCAACGTCGTCGCACATCTGGCCGTTGTCGACGATAGTGTCCGCACAGCACTCAACCGCTGGATCTGGCCCAGTCTCACACTCGCACTCGCACTAAGTTAGAGTTGAGATGCGGAGGTGGGGGG